TTCATGAGGGAATTGCCTGCTAAAACTTATCATTCATGATGATATAAATTGGATAAACAGAAATTCAATGATTTAGACATGTTTTTCCCTCCAAGACCCACATTTTTTTCCAGTGCCTATATTTTCTGGGCTGTTATGCAGTCAAAAGCCGTCACTTGGCTGCTTCTGTTTCACTTTATGTCTTTCTGTGTGCGTTTGCCGTTCGCCATTTGCCATTTAAATGAATGCAGGCAATTTTGAGCTGGTGATGTTGCCCATGCCGATGTGGATGTGGATGTGGATGTTGTTGTGATTTGCTTTGATTGGCATCTAATTTATGATTGACAGATACAAACGTCTCGGAGCAGCAACAATCGGGCCTACCGCAAGATCTCGAAAAGCAGCCAAACAGAAAAACAGACGAACAGCCAGTCGGATAGACCTTATGGTCGGATATCGGCTTAGCTCACGGTTGTCAATCAAGCTATTAAATAATTTACAAACACACATACAGATACAAAGATACACATAGAGATACAAAGATACAGATACAGAGACAGCAGACTTTGGATGGGAATCGAATTTATGAACTAACGTCTTGATTTACGTAGTCTTCGCTGGCTGAATGCGGTTTGAAGCTTTGACACCTTGACGGGCATTGTCAAAGAGTTTCACACTCAGCAGCACTCGCACACCGGCTACCGTTCTATCGGATTACGCGGCGTATGCGCAATGTGGCCCCAAGACGAAGCGAAACGCAATGAAACGAGCCGAGTATCGAACTACCAACAGCCAGCTAAGGTGGCCAATAGCACATGCAGTTTATCAGTCAGTCAGTTGGTTAGATAGTCAGTTAGTCGGTTAGTCAGTCGGCTAGTTAGTCAGACAGTCTGTTTGGTTAGCCCCCACACAACACAAAAGTTGTCTGCCCGATATAGGCCACAATGTGGGGCTGTAAACAAAACGCGGATACTGCTCGGCGGAGCACTGACATAACCGCTCTGCAATCGACTGATAAGAAACTACCATATCTATACATATACCTGAGTATAATATGCAATTGACTGGACGGTGGGTGCCGTAATATACTAGTTGCCAATGACCCTCGACTGGGAATGGAAGATATATAAATAAATATGGTTGCATAAGCCTTAAAAAATATAATATTTTATAATTAAATTTACCATTGATTGACAATCCATTTAATATTCGAAAGATTGCAGAAAATAAGTAATAGGAAAGATATATACATAAATGCAATATAGACACACAACAAATATTTATGGGTAAATTTGAACAATACCAATGTTTACGTAACTTTGAAAAAATGCTAAACAACTATTAAAAATATTGACTTGTATTTTATTGCTGATTTGGTAACTAATAAATAGTAAAACTACCATAAAATGGTAATGAGATTTTTTTTGTTGTTGGGGTGGTAACTATTTCGTGGGTCGAATTGACAATTCAATGGGTTAAGACCATTTAACTATAATACGGGTCAATTTTACCACAAATATTTTTAGTAGGTATGTAAAAATAAACATAAAAAATAATTTAAATCGATGAAGGAAAATGTCAATATGTTAGGGAATATTCCAAAACAATTATTCCAAACATTATTTTTTAGTAAGCTAATTGAATGGATGGTGAGGAAATTAAATTCTATAGATTGCTAATTGAATGGATAGTGAGGAAATTGAATTCTATAGATTGCTGCCGTGACCTTCGGCCCCTGTGATGTTTTTCCCCCCGTTCAAAGTACAATTTGGCCGGAAAACAAAGACACAGGCAGCACACTTTCCCCGAATGTCCAACGAGCTTTCCGCCGACAAACAAATCATATTTTCGAACGCTTCACTTAGCGGGCGCAGATTGTTCAAATATACTCCCCGACTATATGGCTATATGGCTATATGGCTATATGGACATAAATATGCTGTGTGTGTCATGTTGCTGCTATGTTGGCGACGTCTGCGCCGACTGCGACGCCGGCAGAGCTCGCTAAAACTACATAAATCAAAGGAAAAGCATTTTTCTGTTTTCTGATCGTCTATCTGAATTTTGCTTTTGGTTCATTTATATTTTCCCCCAGTCGCCTTTTTTTTCTCCTTGCTTTTCTTGGCGATTGTTGATTGCTGTCGTTGGTGTTGTTGTTGCCTTTGCAATGGCATTTTGTACGCATGTTTCAGACATTTAACATTTTTTTTTCTATATAGACAAGAGACAGATATCGTTCATATACATACGTATACCCAAAAACACACCGATAGACGTGCATATATACATGGGGCTTTTTTGTTTTTATTTGTTTGCGGCGGGGCCGTGAGGCCAAAACATTTATAGGAATATTTCAAATTGCAGACGACGACGTCGCTGCCAGCAGCGCCTTAAATGAGGCTGACAAAAAGAAAAACGACAAAAAAAGCCAAACATAAATAAATAAAGCCGAAGGGAATTATAATTGGTAGTAACGGAGGCGGCATACCCTGCAAAATGATTACCAAAAATTCTAGAATTTTTGCGGGGGATCAAGAACTATTAAAAAAAAATTTCTTACATGCATTTAGTTTTTTTATTAGTTTCTATTAAAATAAGGGTTTTAGAATAAACTTTGTGAGGGAAAAATGTAAAGACAACTGAATATCATAGAAAACGTAATATTATAATGGAGTATTATACCATTTTAAAAGTTGCAAGTTCAAAACCCATTTTCTGTGCACTCAAGTGCAGCCCTGAACAAAAAATAACAAGTCCCCCATAATTATTTCATTTTCTTTGATGTTGGCGGATTCCCTAACCCGAAACACATCACAATCAAAAATAAATATTTCTATATACACAAGGTTTACCTGAACTTTGTCTATTTAATAAAATTCAGAATATATGCACAAATCATAATATAAGGTACTATAAAAAAATATTTCTGTTTGGTTAAATATAGAAGAGTAGCCAATTTAGATGTTTATTTTAATTTCTTGTGCAAAAATAAAGATTTAGGGAACACCTCGCCTCGAACCCGAAGAACTCGAGGAAAATAACCCTGGATGGGATGAGTATATCAAATATGAAATTAATGGAAAATGCGGTTAAAAGCCAAAGCGTGTTGTTTGCTTTTCTTTTGTTGATGCTCCTGCCATCTGGCTATTTTCGTGCATATTATTTCATACGCCTTACATTCTTCGTATCTTAGGCTTTTAATATGCCGAAAACTATTTTAATATGTTTTATTTTTATTTCAAATGTGACACAAATGATTGTTAACGATATTGCGAGATGTTATTGTCTGCATATTGGATCCACCGGCGCTATGTCGTGTCGCCGATAATAAAATCAAAATTGAAATCGAAAATAAAATGAAAACGAAAGGAAAGCAAACCAAACCAATTAATTAACAAAAGCCTCTTGCAAAACCGCAAAAATGTTGTCACATACCACACATAGTACGTATATATTGTTGTTTGAGTCGGCAGTTCCAATTCGAATTTTTCAGCCTGTCATATTCTGCCACATTATTTATTAGCAATACTTAATATATAGTTGACGATGGTTCATTTTTTCGCCTCGGTTCGCTTGTGATCCGTCCTGTTCTGGTTTTTAATTGCGCTCACACGTGCCGGCCGCTATATGAGTGGACATTTATAATATTTGTGCGATGATATATGGAATGTTTCGGCCATAAAGGGATTTCTCGGTGGCCAACGGAAGAGGCTTTCGCATCGAAGGCAAATTAATTCGGGGAATGGCAGGCGCATTTTGTAGTTATTTAATCAATCTTTGGGTGAGGATGCTTTGTTTTCGTGATTCTCAGATTCACGACTCTCCTGGGAATTTACTCCTCCTTTATTCCACACGTTTCGAGGAATTTAGGTATCGTTAACAGAATATTTCTGTAAAATGTTTAGATTGGAATGTATTTTATTTTTATTTTTAGAGGGCCCTATAAGAGCCGGTTTTAAAAACTTTAATTTTTTGTATTTTATTGCAAGGGTTCATGTTTCTTTTTTAAATCAAACTTTTCACAAAAAATATCATTTTTAAAGTTGCTGATTTTTTTATGCAGATGAAATATGATTTACATTTTTAAATACACAAATATAATTTTTCTTCCAGAATTCGAAAGAATGGTTTTGATAGCCCGAACTCAAGTTACGCTCTGCCACGCTAGAACTCGTTGGGAATTATAGCAAATATTGTACAATTTCTAGGTTTTTGCGATTCTCGACAACAAAAAAATATTATTAATTAAACCAGAACAAAGATATAAGATAATTGTAGTTTTTGTTTATTAAACTGGCAGTTAAATTTACCTCTTGATAAGCTTAACCGGTGAAAAAATAGATGGTTTTGTGTTTTCCAAATTGCAGAATTTTAAATTTTGAAAAACCGAGGCAGTATTTCCCACCTATGATAGCATTTAGAAAACCCCTGTTGGAGGTTCCAATATACAGGGATTCCATTCTTTTTTGGACTTTGATAAAATGGTTGTTGTGCATTTTCGGTTGACTTTGCGATTGGCCAATCGGCAGAGAGAGAGGGAGGGATGCGTTGTTCTGCTCACGCCCCCGCAGCGACGACGTCGGCAGCGAAATTTGCACAACCAAGAGGCGAGTGCGAGCGAGATGGAGTGCTGCGCGAGCAACATGTTGCGCAGGCTGCTCCGTTTTTGGCAGCGCAACATGTTGCCAGCCAGGCTGCGCAGGCGCAGTGGCAAATGCAGTTGTTGTTGCTGTTGTCGCTGTGGCAGCGCTGCCCGCCGCTCATTCAACTCAACCTCAACTTCAACTTGCCTCGTTCGTCATCGCAAAAGCATCTCTTCGACACGCGACTCGCACGCACACACCTGCAGTTGCGAAAATTGCAGGCGACACGAGCGCGCCCGAAGTTCACACGATCGTTTGTGTGTGTGTGAGAGAGGGAGAAAGAGAGGGTGGGAAAGGAAAGCGAGAGAGAGAGCGAGAGAGCGGTCTGCCTGCGCCGGCGTCGACGTCGCTGCCCGCGCAGTTGTTGGCCTGTTGGTAGTTTATTTATTCAACCGACCGATACCGTGTGGACATTATTTTACCAAGCGTTCGCAACCGCACAACACGGAGAGCCAAGCCAAAGAGAGCTACTACAGCACACACAACCAGAGAGCTAGGAGGCCCAGAGAGCTACAGCTACAGCCACACCATAATACCACCATACGATCCCCGATCCCAACCGATCCGATCCGATACGATCCCAAATCAAACCATATACACGGCGGTTCGCACCGCCCAGCTATCTAGTAGATAAAAAGTCGCCGAGACGAGAACGCAGTGCGCAGAACCGATCCGAACCGCTAACTTGAACGCCAAACACTCGCGTTGTCGTAATCCCCCATCCGAGATTCGACTCTATTTTCCAGAGCATACTGCACACAGCTCGTACAACAGTGCCTTAAATCAAAGCTAAACTAAACTATACTATACCATACCATATACCATATACTATATACTATAGCAAACTAGAAAATCAAATTCAAACAAAAGTTAAGAGAAGAAAAGAAAACAAGTCTCGAAACTGAAAACGAAAAACGCAAATTTATGCAGCCGCTAAGTAAAAACAAAACAGCGAATAAATAAAAAAATAAAAAAAACGGCAAATAGAATAAATCCAATAAATCGGCGCGCGAAACTCGCGTGTGTTATCTAATCTGCAAGAGAAGTACAAGAATCGGTATCTCGGTTCTATACTACATCTATATCTAATATATCTATATCCATTGTGTGTGTGCCAGTGTGTGCGTTGCGACCTTTGTTTTTCTATATATTTTTTGTTGTTGTTGTTGAAACTGTGTGAAACGTGCCTTACAAGCCGGTCATTTCAAACAAAAAAATACACACTACTTGCTGCAAAATAACCATAAATATGGCCAACAAGCAGAGGAAATCGAGTGGCAGCATCGAATGGGCCACGGCCACCGGCACAGTACCGCTCCTGGAAAGGAGTTGCAACAGCAACAGTAACAGTAACAGTGAGGAAACGGAAATGGAAGCCCAGATCCCCAGATCCAGCCACAGAGCCCCCAGAGAACAGCCCATGATCCGCCACCTGCGACACCTGCTCATCGCCGGACTGCTGATCGTCTGTCTGGTGGGCGGGACGGAGGGCCGCCGGCATGCGCCGCTCATGTTCGAGGAGTCCGACACGGGCAGGCGGTCCAACAGACCAGCGGGTAAGTCTAAGTCACCTTTAACTATTCCTCCTCCATCGCTACCATATCGTATATCACTTGCCATTTTCCGTTTTGCTGGGTTAACCGGGTATTAAACAGACCAGGTTGTTAAAATAGAATAGTTAGGGTCTTACTTTTACCAAAGATTAGAAGCATTTTAGTTTCTTTATATAAAAAGATCTATCCATCATATGCCAAATCGGAAATAATATTATATCTTATATCTAGAAATAATATTATAATATACGATCTTCAAGTTCAGGTTTCCTTTCACCAAAAACAGACCTTATACAAAACAGATCTATCCATCATATTGCAAATTACAAATAATATTATATCTTATATCTAGAAATAATATTATAATATACGATCTTCAAGTTAGGGGTTTTTCTTTTGCCAAAGATTAGAAACATTTTAATTTCTGTATATAAAAAAGACCTATCCATCATATTCCAATTTAGAAATATTATTATTCCCAGGCAATCTTATTTAAACATTTTTAGAAAAACCATAAAATAGAATATTACGATCTTCAATTATAAATCATCTTAGTGCTAGTGCTTAGTGCTATAATTTAATAGCCCAATCAGTTATTGGGTGATATTTCTGATATACCTACCTCCGCTGTGGTTGCATAAGCTACCATTGCGCATACGCCGTGTCGGCTGCCGGCGGCAGTTGTGCGGCTATATGGCCCTACTATATGACACGGGGAATTCCCCATCCCCGTGCCCGCAGGTAGAATTCCAGCCGGTGTCGAGGCGGGACCTGCTCGCACCTCTAATCCCGCCAGGTTTCGGGATATGGTATATGGGACATGGGATATTCCCGACGGCCCAGCACAGCACTCCCTTTTTTATTGTACTAGTTGCTCGATCGAGGGGTATATAACCCCGTATTGTTTCGTCTTTCTGTGTGTGTGCTAATCCGGAAAGCGGGAATTCCCTTCCGCTCGCTGCCTGCGCTGCGCAGACGCGTCGGCGACCGTAAGCCGCTTACCGGAGATAGATACCAAAATAGATTCATATGCAGACCCTTCCGTTCCGATCCGATCCAATGCGATCCGTAGAGCGGCACCCAATTGCAATTTGTTGCAACTCACACGCTTGATTAGCTGCATTTCCTGTTTGGCTCCCCGGCTCCCTGGCTCCCTATACTATATCGCATCGCATACTATTATGTTCCCAAGTTGCCGTTTTTTTTATTCATTCTTTCTTGGTCCGCTGCCGTTGTTGCATTTTCAATTAAAAACAGATTGCGGTTTACGTTGCAGCGACTTTGAAACGTTTCTCGGCTTACACACAAAATGCAGCTCGATGGTAATGATGATTAACAGGTTCTGTTAGGGCTTAGTCGATGCCCTGTAGATCCCGGGGATTTGTAGCGGAACCGGAAAGAATAATAGATATACTCACGAGTATTTCTTGCACAACCCTTGCTAGCTTAAAGTTAATCCATAGATTTTAGGTTTTACAACATTGAACTCAAATATCTTGGAAAGTAAGCCAGCTATCTTTATAAACTCTTTTCTAAACTCCACTTCCCAACCGCCTGAGTCGTTTATCAAAGTTTCCCCCAAATCGTTGGTCGTTTTCATAATGTTGCCACAACAAAATGGGTTAAGCTCGGTAATTGGTTCGGGCCGCGATCGTAGGCAATCGTAGATGGCACACTTTGACGCCCACGCGCGACTTGCATCCTACCCATTCGGCACCCACTTCCCGAGATCTCTGTTCATACAAAGTCTTAGCATAATTTAGTCGTTATATGGCTGCGAGCCCCCAACCATCGTGCTGTTGTTGCCTTTTCTTCGGTTTTATTTTTAAAGAATGAATGAAAAGCCAACGCACAGGCAGAGTGGCAACAACTACCAAAACAGTTCTCTTTTTTTTGGGCGTCCGTTTCTTTTTTTTTTTGGCTTTCGGAACCCAACTGGTGGCTAATCAAACGTCAAAGACCACGCAGACAGAGCCAGCAAACTACCAGCCAATTCGTTTTGTTCATTTCGCATTTAATTTAACTGATTAACAAGCTGACCGACCCCTTCGCCATCCCCATTCCCATTCCCATCGGCAACCCACGGTGCCGCCATTCGTCAGCATAATTCATTTATTCAACTGTCTGCCGCCCAGTTAGGTGTTAAAAAGTTGTTAACTTATTTTTAATGAATGCGTGTAAAAACACAACACTCACACACAAACACAGGCAAAAAAAAGTCAGTGAAAAAAAACAGCAGAAAAAACCAAAACCGACCGAAAAAAAATCCGAAAAAAGGCAATGAAAAAAGATCAAGATGTGCCTACGTAGAGCTCCCCAACAAGCCGCCGGCAACGGCAAAAAATCGTTCCGTTCATTTCGTTTCGTTTCGTTTTGGGATCTCGGCAAACATATCATGATCAGCGGCAGAAAACGAAACGCGAAGAAGATGGAAAAAAAGCTGGCCAGCTAAGCGGTCAAAACCGAAGCGGCAGATACCCTGGGTATTATAATGGATTGATTTAAAAAAAATACTTTTTAAGAACTCCAGAAAAACCGGGAAATATCTAAATATTTTGACATAATTTTTGGGATTTTATAGTTTTGGAAAATGGTATTTAAAAAAGATTTGAATAACTTACTTAAAGAATCTTAAGATATATGATATATTAGCTGGAATTGTGTATTGTAAAGGTTTTACAAAGCCAAAAACTTCAGAAAAACCAGGAAATATCTTCATGTTTTAATATCTTGATCTAATTTTAATAGTATTAGAAAAGGATATTCTTTAATTTTTACAACAACCTAGTTAGGAAACCTTAAGATATATGATATATCAACTGGTTTATATAATTTCTGGACCCTCGGTTAGGGTACAACCAAGTTGGGGGGTTCGGCACGAAACACGTTAAGACAGAGCAGGCCAGGGGCGTTTTCCAAGGGGGGTTTGGGTGAGGGGATGGGGCCCCGAGCTAAAGCCAAAGCCAAAGACTGTCTGACGTTTGTTTGGGGCCGTCTGCGACAGCCACCCGAAATGAGCCACCGCCGCCGTCGTCGTTGTCAGTTGCATGTCAGCTGGCCAAAGGGGAAGAGGGGGACTTGGCCCGGTCCGGAGGTGCCTCCGATCCCCCCGGGGGGAGTACCCCCCCCTCACGAAATGCAACCAATTTGTTGCATTTGCCACACAGACGCGTCGAGGAGGAGACGAGGCGTCGCCGCAGCGTGTGGGCAGAGGAAGCACTTAATGCCCACAAGGTGTCAAATTGCAGAAAACTCCGCTTCGCCCACCCCGAAAAAAAAATAGGAAAAAATAATACACACACCAAAAAAGCTAAAAAAAAAAAAAAGATATACAAAAATATCAGCCTATGTGTCTGGCGTAAATTAATTTGGCCAAGAGCGTAGGCAAAATAGATACGATACGATCTTATTGAATCGAATCCGTAGGCTCCACGCCGTTTCCGTTCCAATGAATGAAGTTGCAATTTGATTGGGCAGAAAAAAAAAGAAAAAACTAAAAGACAGGAAACCTAAAAAGAGATAGGCATAGACATAGGCCGTAGAGTGGGGCAAAAAAAATGAGTGAGGTAGATGAGGGGCAGTGAAAAGTTGACAGCTAATAACAGATTTGTGCTGGGCTCTTTTTTTATGGGCGCCATCCATCTGCATCTCTCAGTGGCATTTGCCATGCCTTTCATTAGCACATGCCGCATTCTTGCCATGCATTAATTATCAAGGCGCAATCAGCGCCACATCTGCCCCCCTCAAAAACCCCCCTGCGAACAAAAAAACAAGGAACCCATAGGAAACCGACATCGTACAGAACCATATATCTCGGGCCTTTCTCTAAATGAGAGATGCATTCGCACGCATCATCTAAATTGCGGATCGCTGATAGGCGGGCAGCGGCTCTGAAAAAGCTCTGAGGGTTCTATCAGTTGCCGAGCATCAATTTGCCATGTTTCTATGGTTATTTTATGGGGGGATTGGGATGGGTTGAAATACATTTCAATGGGTTGGCTTGTAGATCTTCTAGGTCTAAAACTGCTCAACTTACCAAATAATTCGAAATAAATCACATACAATGATTCTCACAATTAATATACAAACAGCAGCGGTTAAAATGTATTCAATTAAAGCCAAAGGCATCTTGAAAATATCTCATAGATATGCAAAAAAAAAACCCTTTGATGACTATTTCAACAGCCAAGCAAAATATATAATGCATAGCATCATGGCATGCATAATATTCAAACACTATATTTTGTATAAAAATTGCTGGCAATTTTTGTCGCCAAACAAACCATTGGCAATTGGGCATGCAATTGCATAGCTCGACAATTAAATTTACCCTTTAATAGTCGCACATGGGGCAAATCTTGCGGTTCGTATTTTTTCGTGCTAAAAACGCCCACCAAAACAAGAAGAAAAACCCAAAAACGCCCGCAAATCGCGTGTCGCGTGACGCGTTTTGCCGGTTGTTGTTGTTATTGTCTGCCCATTCATTGCAACCCCAAAAAAATACAAAATAAAAATAAAAAAAAAATCAAATAAAAATAAAAATAAAAATAAAAACAAAAAGAATACATCCTCAACATATTTGTGCAACTTATCAGCGCATTTAAAATTAGCTAGCAACAAGAATAACAACAACAACGAACAACCGCCAACGTATTCAGTTGTTGGCTTTCGTTGTTGTTGTTGTTGTTGTTGTTGTTGTTGTATCTGCTGGCTGTAGTTGTTGTATCTGTTGGCCAAAGTTGTTGTTGTCGACATCTGTGCGGGGCAAGATTTGCAGTCGCGTGATTTGGTTTGTAAATGGGAAGGAAGGCGAACACGAATGGTATACGTAGATCCAAACATACATCCATATACATATATATATATGGGGGGTATGAAAAATGCAAAAACTAAAACCAAAAATAAAAATAGTCATTGAAAATGTTTACGGCCAGGCCGGGTCTTCATTGTTGTTGTTGTTCTTCTTCTGATTCTTGTTGACTGTTCCAAAATAGAAAGAAAGA